CATGGATAGTGTAGTCAGGCCCTATCTTGATGTGTTCGTGATTGTATTCAATGATGACATTCTGGTGTATTCTCGTTCGGAGGCGGAACATGCGGGCCACTTGCGGATAGTACTACAGACGCTTCAGGATCGTAAGTTATATGCTAAACTCTCCAAATGTGAATTCTGGCAGAACTCAGTAGCATTCCTTCGCCATGTGATATCTGATGAGGGTATTAGTTTCGACACTCAGAAGATCGATGTAGTAAAGCATTGACCAAGACCTACAACACCATCAGAAGTCCGCAGCTTCCTGGGGCTATCAGGATATTATATGCGATTTGTAGAAGGGGTTTCCTCTATATCAGCACCATTGACTAAGTTAACACAGAAAACTACCAAGTTCCAGTAGTCTGACGCTTGTGAACGTAGTTTTCAGGAGCTAAATAATCGATTGACATCCGCGCCAATGCTCACTCTCCCAGAAGGAACAAAAGGTTATGTGGTATATTATGATGCCTCGGGTATAGGTTTGGGGTGCGTATTGATGCAACGTGGGAAGGTGATTGCTTATGCATCAAGACAATTGAAGAAACATGAAAAGAATTACTTGGCTCATGATTTGGAATTGCCTGCAGTAATATATGCTTTGAAGATATGGCGGCACTACTTATACGTCGTCCATGTTGACATCTACACAGATCATAAGAGTTTACAATACATCTTCAAGCAGAAGGAGTTGAATTTGAGGTAGCGTAGGTGGCTTGAATTACTGAAAGATTAGGTGGCTTGAAATTTGTCCACCCGGTATTCCCTGTATCTATGTTGAGGAAATGTATTGGAGACCCTTCTTGGGTCGTCCCTATCAAAGATGTACAAGTTACAGAGGATCTATCATATGAAGAAGTACCAGTAGCTATATTAGATCGACTAGTCCGCAAGCTGAGAACAAATGATGTAGCTTCCGTCAAAGTATTGTGGAGGTACAAGAATATGGAAGAAATGACATGGGAAGAAAAAGATGAAATGAAGTCTAAATACCCTTACCTGTTTAAGAATGAAGATAACGAATAGCTTGAGAATACTCTTCCTTAATACAAAATGGTGATATGCAGATAATGTACATATCCATAATGCTTTGTATAGCCTTGTGAGGCCATACGTTGGATTTAACTGCATGCAAGTTTGGCTAGTGTCCATTTTATTGGGGAATTTCGGCCGAAAATTTCCGTCGGGATCCATGATGAGTTAGACTCCCCATAAACCCTTACATTCGAGGACAAATATTCCTAAGGGGGAGAGGCTGTTACAACCCATATTCACGTACGTTAGTTCACGCCGTAAGTTAGTCGACGTAAATCCGAGAAGATATTATCTTTGAGATGATAAGAAGTTAATCCTATTGGTCTTAAATGATACAAGGGTGTATACGAGTGCTTGACATGTATTAGAATTTAAACAAATCAAGGATGTTGTAACGCGTACTTTTGGGTAAACCTAGAGGTGCTTAATATTCCCAAGAGGTCGTGTTTTAAGGTATTTTAATCATATAATATCCGTATCATAAGTCTTGAAGTCAAACGGGTAATGAATCAAAAGTCGACAAAAGTTGTCGCAACTTACGTTCATAATTTTACTTAAACTTTAGGTCAAATGTTAGTAAGCTTTTCTCCCAATTAACTTGTACTTATGGGGTAATCTATCCACCAAATTGAATATCTATAAGTCTAGTTTCCAACACATTAAACCATTTTTTGATACGATCTTGGAGTAGAGAGATATTCGCATTTTCGCGAAACTGCGCCAAGCAGCTCTCTATGGGACCCACATAGGCGGTTGAGACATATGGATATATATAAGATGCCTCAAACCCATTTTAAGTCATTCTTTTTCAGTATATTCAGACCTTAGAACTCTAAAAACACTCTCTCAAGGTTCTCTCATGATCCAAGACCCAAACAAAGGCAAAAAACACAAATCAAGTGTCGGGAATCCCGTGGCGCTAGTAAGTTTCTTGTTCTGCTGATTTTTGTGTTGTTCCAGCTCGTGTGGGAGGTTATTTTAAGTGCTTTATGTTTTGTAAATTACTCCCTCAAGTTTTTAATATCAACCCTAGGTGATTTCAAGTCTTCTAAAGTGATTCTATTGCCGAAAAACCCTAATTGATTGCTAGTTTCGCTTCCTTGTTCTTGTGGCAGCATTGGAGAGATATTTTGCAAAAATCTCTAATTCTACCCAAATCCCCAATTTCTACCATGGTAGAACAAAGATTTGGGCCAGAAATTTATGGGTGATGTTAGAAATGGAAGAAAATGAGTTAAAGTGCACAAACCTATGAATTGGTGTTGAGTTTTCTCTTCAAAATCGTCTCTAGGCCGAGCTCTAATGGAAGGTTTATGAAAAATGGGAGAAATCCCGTTTTGGGACTGTTTTAAATCACCGGCGTTAGGTGCTCATCGCGTTCGCGAAGAGCATGGCCTAACTGGCCTACATGATCGCGAGTAACTCCACGTGTTCGCGAAGGCATAGCCGGCCTCACGTCTGCGTTCGCGAGACTGGTCCCATCCCATCCAATACTACACGTTCGCGTTGGTGTGGACGCGTTCGCGAAGGGCAGTCCCCCACCGCTCCGCGTTCGTGTTCTATTCCTCGCGTTCGCATAGCATATTTCTCCCCCAGTCCTAACTTACCTTTCGCGATCACGGTAGTATATTCGCGATCGCGAAGAAGCTTTTACCAGACACCAGCAGAAATGAAAAACCAACAAATTTTCCTAAGTTCAAAAGGTCCGTAGGCTATCCGAAACTCACCCGAGACCTCGGGGCTCCAAACCAAATATGCACACAAGTCCAAGAACATTATACGAACTCGCTCGCATAATCAAAACACCAAAATAACACCTAGAACTATGAATCAGACACCAAATCAAATGAAATTTTTAATAAAACTTTAGAACTTCTATTTTTACAACTGGACGTCCGAATCACGTCAAACTTACTTCGTTTCTCACCAAATTATGCAGACAAGTCATAAATATAGTAATGGACCTATACCGAGTTCCGAAACCAAATACGGACCTGGTATCAACAACCATTGGTCAAATCTTTAAATTCATTAAACCTTTTAACTTCAAACTTTCGATAAAAAGCGATAACTCAAGTTAGGGACCCCCGAATTCGATTCCAGGCATATGCCCAGGTCTCAGATCACGATACGGACCCACTTGACCGTCAAAATACGGATCCGGGTCCGTTTCCCAAAACGTTGATAGAAGTCAACTCAAATGGATTTTTAAGGCATAATTTCATATTTTATCAAGATTTAACATAAAAGCCTTCCGAAAAAAGACACGGATTGCGCACGCAAATCGAAAAAGGCTAAAATGAGATATTTGTGGTTTCGAAACACAAAATTAAGGTTTAAAACTCTAGATGATCTATCGGGTCATCACATAAAGAGTCGATAGGCTTGTAATTCAAGCACTACATGTCTATCCAAAAAGTCTTCAAAGAACATACTATGAGTTGTAAGAGTAATGTTCGTTTGGTATGCTGCATAAGCTGGGATAAGGTAAGGGATTATGAAGCGACCCCGGTTAAGAAATTAAGACCGTGGGCGTGTGCGCTCTAAAGTTTAAAGTGTACTATATTCTACTCAATCTTTGAAATATGCTGAGGTGATAAATGGCATTATGGTGGGGAAGAGGTGGAAAAGTGATAGATTGATTAGAATGACCCACACTGTTAATACTACCTAATAAAAGCCTGCAAACAACACAAACTCTGAGCTGTAAGGGAAGAGGGAACGTGGGGGTGTGCACTCCAAATCTGTGGGGCAACTTTACTAAAGCTTTAAGATAATACTGGCCAATTTTATTCGAAATGCTACTTTGATTGACTCAACTTTCATTTCAGTGATTTCCTTCTTAGTCATCACTCACATTATTTTCTTATTTTCATATGGTATAAATGTTAACATTGCACCAAATAAAATAACAACAACGGTAGTGTTTACGAATACCTTACCACAATCGTGGAAGGACAAAAAGACTGTTTCTGATAGACCTAAAGACAAAATAAAAAGAATCAGTGGTAACAACAAGGTAATACACCAAATAATATTTGATATGAAATAATAATTCTTCATACAACTTGCTCTATTAATGCAAGAGCTAAAAGAAAACACCAAGATTATATATAGATCCAATTGCTTTTCCCTTATTTATTTAATTTGTCTTTCTCTCAAATCTTGAATTACCGAATTGACAATCTTCTCTAAATGCACACTCTGATCCGAACGAAACTGAAAAACAAACAGCTAAAATACGAGCCGTAAAAAGAGGTACAATTCCAACATAAACAAACAAGACAGCTTTCCCTAAATTTCACGTTCGGACCTGCCTAAGAAGCATAGTGAAATTTAAAAACAAAACGTCTAAGTTTTATGTCACTTATAGTCCGTTTGGCCAAGCTACTAAAGTCAGCTTATTTTGATAAGTGTTTTTCTCAAAAGTACTTTTTAAAAAAGTGCTTTTGGTGAGAAGTAGTTTATGTTTGGCTAATTAATTTGACAACACTTTTGAGCAGTAATTAGTGTTTGGCCAAGCTTTTGAAAACTGCTTCTAAGTGTATATTTCTCAAAAGTGCTTTTGGAGAGAAGCTACTTTTTTCTACTTATCCAAAACTGCTTCTGCTTCTCCTCAAAAGCACTTTTTTCCTTCCAAAAGCTTGGCCAAACACCTCAATTTTTGGCCAAAAGTACTTTTGGCCCAAAAAAAAAGCTTGGCCAAACAGGCTATTAATCCCGACAACTCCAGCATTTCCTAGGAATTCCCAACTTTTTCAATAACATAACCCTTATAAATTCTCAAAAAGCTATCCAGAAAATTTCCTTCATAGACCAAAATGAGAAGAAAAACTGACATCTTACGTTCACCACTAAGTATTTTGGTGTTTTTAGTTTTTTGTCCAATAATTGGAAGTGTCAATGGAGAATACTTGATAGGAGTGGGAAGTTATGACATGACTGGCCCAGCTGCTCAAGTGAACATGATGGGTTACGGTAATTTTGATCAAGTTACTGGCGGTATACATTTTAGGTTAAGAGCTAGGACTTTCATTGTTGCTGAAAGTTCAAAAGGTCCGAGGTTTGCTTTTGTCAATCTTGATGCTGGTATGGCTTCACAACTTGTGACAATTAAGGTACTTGAGAGACTAAAATTAAGGTACGTACCATAATTTCTAGTCACTAATTACTTCGTCCTTGAAGGAGAGCCTTGGCGTAACTGATAAAGTTATTGCCATGTGACCAGGAGGTCACGGGTTCAAGTCGTGGAAACAGCCTCTTGCAGAAATGCAGGGTAAGACTGCGTACGATAGACTCTTGTGGTCCGACCCTTCCCCGAACCCCGCGCATAGCGGGAGCTTAGTGCACTCGAGCTACTCTTTTTTTAATTACTTCGTCCCGTTTCATTTTATTTGACGATATTTTCCGTAACGTAAAGCTTTTAAAAAAAAAAAAGAAGCCGTTTGAACATACTATATTCGAAGTACTTTAAAAAAAATGATCTTAAATATGTCATGTCTTTTTTATTTTGCAATACAAATACTTCATGAAGGTGAAATGAAAAGTATAACGTTAGAATTCTCAAACATAGAAAGGTATTTTTTTTTTAAAAAAGACAAAAAAGAAAAAGTGTATCGTGTTAAATGGAGCATAAAAAGTAACTCCATCCTATTTAATTTGTTTGGTACTATTTCTTATTAATCCGTTCACAAAATAGTAACACGTTGCTATAATATGAAACAATTAACTTTAAATTTACCGTTTATCCTTAGTAATGAAATATAGTCACACAAATGTTATGACATGTTTAAAGCCGCAAACTTTAAAAATCTTCATTTCTTTCCTAAACTTGATGCTGAATCAAAATATGATATTCCCTCCGCTCATTTATAGTAGTCCACTTTTGACTTTGCATCTCCTTTAAGAAAAATAAATGAAGTATATATTTTATAATTTTATCCATAACAATGATAGCATTTCAAAAAGTCTTAGGAAATGATTTGGGATGAGCAGTTAATGTTAAGGGTAAAACAAAGAAAAAATAATTGTCTTTCTATTGATTTGCTAAATGGACAAATAAAAATAAAAATATATTTTTAGTATAGTGAGACAAATAAAAGTAAACGGAGCGAGCAAATTGGAACAGAAGAGTATGTAATATGAAGCTATGTATAGATATACATACAAATTTTCTTTTGGACTAATGTTTAGTGCATTTAAAAAGATTTACACTAAGTACTCACTCCTTGCTATGTCACATTAATTCGTTACGGACACGTTAAGTATAATGAAAAATCTATGTAACATAGAATTGCTGCGCCGTCTCCCATTCACTACCACAACTAAAGCTAATACCAGTAAATTTTATCTTAAACAATTCTCTTATACTTTGTTTGTATATATAAAGGTATGGAAATTTATACAGTGAAGAAAATATTGCAATAAGCGGGACACATGCTCATGCTGGTCCAGGAGGTTACTTGCAATACGTGACTTATACTGTAACTTCACTTGGCTTTGTTCCTCAGTCATTTGAGGCCATTGTTACTGCTATTGAACACAGCATTGTCCAAGCTCATGACAATCTAAAGCCTGGTTCCATCTTTATCAACAAAGGTAAGAAATATATATATATATATATATATATATATATATATATATATATATATATATATATATATATATATATATATANTATATATATATATATATATATATATATATATATATATATAACACTAAGGTAAGAAGAAAAAGAAAGTAAAAAGGGCTTATTCTGATTTCTTGTTTAGGATTTAAGTTATATTCGTTGATATCGTTCTATATGGGTGTCACGACCCAATTTTCATTATAGGTCGTGATGGCGTCCAACATCGTTGTTAGACAAGCCAACCCTAATCACTAGCGAGTTCTCATTCTTTTGAAAAATCATTCTCGACATTTACTTAACTTAAATTCAAAACAATCGATAATTAATAAATTATAAGGCGACTGAATCGGGAAAGACTAAAAGGGACCATAGCAATATGAATACAACCCAAAAATAATAGTCTACTAGTGTGTGTGTCAGGAACTAGTGTCACAAGTACTAGGGCAACTAGTAGAATGTACAAAAAATACATCTAATCATACTGCCTGAAATAGAATAGACAGTAAATGACAAAAAGGAGAGACTCTGGTATGCTGCTGAACGGCTCAGAAGGGGCAGCTCACCGTGAGATCTCGATCGGGTATCAGGAACGCGCGCCGGACGGATAGCCAGATGCGCCTGCCTCAGATCCTGTACATTTAAGTACAGAATCGTAGTATGAGTACATGAACAATATGTACCGAGTAAGTATCCAGTCTAACCTCGAAGAAGTAGTGACGAGGGGTCGACTTGACACTTACTAGGGTCAATAATAATATATTTCAAGTGTTACGCTAAGTATGGATAGTAGGAATATAATGACAGTCCAAGAACTAGAAGAGACAAAATATTCCTTTCTAACAACGTATCAATTTCAGTCATATCATGTAATAAGTTACATTCCAAAGCATTCAAGTAGTGTAAATCACGGAAAGTTCCACATAAATAACATGCGCACATTGTGGCGAGGTCATACGACCCGATCCGATATAAAAATAAACTGTGCACTGCAAGAGGGTCGAATGACGCGAACCATAGATGCATCTATTTACTACCGAGGCGATCGGCTCGATCCACAAATAGCAATTTATTATCAACTAAGCACACATTGCCCATTTATAGTCAAATAATTCATACAAGTTCTCAAGTAATTGAGTATAGCCGTCTATATTTATTTACCAATTTCTAGCATGGCCTAAGTGATCTTAGTAACAAGCAAGGACGCAAGCATTTGCAAGTATAACATGATTCGCGTCCTAACTACCCGGACAATTAGCATAATAGTAGCTACGTACGGACTCTCATCACCACGTGCGTACGTAGCCCCCACAGATAGTCACATACATTTATTTAATTCACCTATGAGGTTAATTCCCTCTTACAAGGTTAGAAAGGAGACTTACCCCGTCTCAAAGATTACTTCAAATTTCAAGAATGCGCTCAAACCCTCAAATCGGAGCCGAACGATCCAAAACTATTCAAACGGGGTAAGGACTAGTCAATATATGCTCAAGAGTTCATATTCTAACTATTAAACTAATTTTCCAACCCTAAATGCAAGGTTCCTAAAATTCACCCCCTGGTCCACGTGCCAGGATTCCGGAAATTTTTGAAGAAAGTTGTTACCCATAACCTAAGGATCAAGAACATATGGTTTCTACTATATTTCATAACAAATTTTCATGGTTAAATCTCATTTTTGTCAAAACCCTAGGTTTACTCTAAACCCAAAATTTTCACTAATTTACATGGTGTAATCTACCCATAAACTATATATTAAACTCACATGTAGAAGAAATAACTTACCTCACAATGCTAGGCTGAAATCTCCCCTTTTGAAGCTCCCAAATCGCCCAAGAATGAAGTGAAATGTGTTAAAAATGACACATTCCCGTATTAAATGAAGGTCACTGCCTTCTGCGATTTCCGCACCTGCGGTTAGGGGACCGCATCTGCGGTCTCGCTTCTGCGTGAAATTGCCCGCTTCTGCGGTATTGGGCCGGGCCAGCTGGGCCGCATCTGCGGGCTTGGGACCGCTTCTGCGGTTCCGCTTTTGCGAAAGAGGGGCAGCATCTGCAGGACCTGGGCTACTCCCCTTGAGCCGCATCTGCGATGGTTAAGCCGCTTCTGCGGTGTCGCACCTGCGGCTGGCCAACCGCAGGTGCGGTTATGACAGAACTGGAGCTTCAGCTCCTTCCCAAAATTTCAACTTAGCTCGAGCCTCGTCCGATTGACGCTCGAGGCCCCCGAGGCCCGGCCTGAACATACCGACAAGTTTGGAATCATAAAACGGACTCGCTCGAACCCTCAGAACACTCGAAACAATGCTAAATGTAAGAATCACACCCTAAAACCGATTGAATCAAATTTATGAACTTCAAGTTCTTCAATCTACTTCCAATGTGCCGAAACGTACTTATACTACTCGGATTGACACCAAATTTTGCGTGCAGGTCTTAAATGATAATACAGAACTATTTCCGGTCTCGGAATTCCATTCGGACATCGATATAAATAAACCTGCTCCAAACCAAATTTACAGAACTTCAAAATCTTTAAGGAATCAACTTTCACTATTAGGCGCCAAAACGCTCCCGGATCATCCAAAACCCGATCTGGACATACGCCTAAGTCCGAAATTATCATATGAACCTGTTGGAACCTTCAAACCCTGATTCCAAGGTCGTTTACTCAAAACGTTGACCGAAGTCAAACTTGGCCTTCTAAGCCAACCTTAAGGAACCAAGTGTTCCGATTTCAACCCAAACTCTTCCAAATCCCGAACCAACCATCCCCACAAGTCATAAATCAATAAAATACGAGAAGTCTTATTTAGGGAAACGGGGTTCTTGAAAGCAAAACGACCGATCGGATCGTTACCATGTGTGTAACTTAGTTGGAGTTAGTTTCACATATGATTACTAACTTTACGTGCTTTAACAAGAAAATCACAAAAATTCCTTTTTGTCACATTAAAGTAACTTAAGCTTTTCACTATAACATTATAGTTACAAAAATTTATCACTATACTAGTAAAATCATTTTGATGGTAGGTTTTGCCGTTATAGTGGTAAAGTTTAGTGAGATTGAATTTTTTTTTTTTTTTAATGTGACAAAAAGGTTTTATGACCTAATTGTCATAGTTGGTAAAGTATTTAGTGAATTAAATGTTATACTATTGGATAAAGTTCGAATATGAAAAATGATTTGTAATTTTAGTTTTAGTGACCATACACAACAACAATAACAACAAATCAAGTATAACCCCACAAGTTGGGAGTGGGGAGTGGGGAGTGGGGACTATACGCAAAATAAACATGTAATTTAATCGATTGTAGTTGATTATTTCGCCATCTTTACTAATCTACCCTTCGATGGAATTTAATTCCTTTTTTTTTTTTTAATATTTATGTAGGGGATCTAGAGAATGCAGGTATAAACAGGAGTCCAAGTGCATATCTGTTCAACCCTAAAGAAGAGAGGTCCAAATATGGTAAGAATGTTGATACTCTAATGACCCTTTTGAAATTTGTGGATGGAGAGACTGGAATAAGTGTTGGTGCATTCAGCTGGTTTGCAACACATGGAACTTCAATGAGCAGAAATAACAAACTCATCAGTGGAGATAACAAGGGTGCAGCTGCTAGGTTTTTTGAGGACTGGTTTGCTTCTCAAGAGAAAAATTCCTCTACAAATTCTGCCCCTTACTCCAAGGTGTTAGGTAGGTAAAATTAATACTCATTTTTTTTGTGATGAACAAAAGACTTCAATGAGTATTTATTACTCATATGATTTTAATACTATGTACTGGCGGTATAAAATATATGTTTGCATAATGTGATCAAAGACGTTAAACCTAACTCAACTTCAAGAGTTGTGATTCCAAAATCAAATCCATGTTGATGTGTTTCTCAATATTGGGTTCATGTGTTATGTTATACATGCTTGTCCAGTATTAATCGAGGTGATATCAGGTGGCATATTCGCTGAGAGAATAAGTTGTAGTCTCCTTTTTTTCGTCTTGGCAAATCCTCCCCTAGTGAGTTAACTTTTGAGATTAAGTTAGTAAAATTACTTATAAGGTAACTAAGAGTAAAATATTATGATAAAAGCATTGATTGGTTTACCTGATAAAAATAGTATTCCAACTAACATGCTATCATCGGATTCACTAATTGTGTATAAGTCTTTATATCCTTAGTGTTAATAATTTTAAAGAAGAGATCAACCATGTAAAAATCTCCTTTTGTGGTTTTATGGATCAGGTAGCAATCAAGCCTTGTTCAATAAAGCATCCACAATCAAGCCCACGGGAGGAAAAGCTTGTGCAAACACAACAAGCCAAGGGTTTAAGGTGAGGAAGAACAAAGAATTGAAATTTGTTGGAGCATTTTGCCAATCAAATGTTGGAGATGTCAGCCCAAATGTGCGTGGAGCATTTTGCATTGATAGTGGATTACCTTGTGATTTTAATCACTCTTCTTGTCATGGCAATGACCAACTCTGTGTGGGCCGTGGGCCTGGGTAAGACTTAAAGAGGCCAAAATTTCACGGTATAGCCAGTTTTCGGACTGGTCAATCAAAAATAGCCAGCGTTTACCAAGTCAACGAAAAATAGCCACCGTTTTGCTGCAATAGAGACCGGTCCAGCATAATATACTGGAGTTCGGTGCACTTGTGTATGAACTCCAGCATATTATGCTGGACCGGTATACTTTGCTGGCTCCAGTATATTATACTGGACCATTATACTTGCTGGAACTCCAGTATATTATGCTGGAGTTCTAGTGTATTTATGCTGGGGCTCCATCATATTATGCTGGAGTTCCAGCATACTATCCTGGAACTCCAGTAAAATATGCTGGAGTTCAAGTATACTTATGCTGGAACTCCAGCATAATATACTGGAGTATTTTTCGGGTTTTGAACAGTGTTTTCGCTCAGATTTATCTTTACATAAAAAGTGGCTAAATTTCGATTACTTTTGAAATTGGGCTATTTTTGAACGACCAGTTGTAAATCTGGCTATTTTTAAAAATCACCCCTTAAAGAGTACTTTCAAATAATCAGAAATAGCCAGATTTATAATTGGTAATTGAATAAATGCCACAGTTTCAAAATTAATTGAAATTTAACAATTTTTTCATGTAAAGATAACATCCGAACAAACACACCCTTAAAAATCCGATTTTTTTTAGCATAATATGCTGCTGGAGTTCGAAATTTTACACATATGAGATTCCAGCATAATGTGTTGGAGTTCCAACATAATATGCTGGAAGTTTATACGCTAGAGCTCCATAATCCAGCATATTATGCTGGAACTTTCCATGTGCTGGAGTTCCAACATAATATGCTGAAAGTTTATACGCAAGAGCTCCATAATCTAGCATATTATGCTGTAACTTTTCGTGTTTCAGCAAAATAGTGGTTATTTTTCAATGACTTTGCAAACACTAGCTATTTTTCAATTACCAGTTCGAAAATTGGCTAGCCCATGCTATTTTCACTTCCTTTTTTCGCCCGTTAGTTAAATTGGGCTTTAATTTCTAATGGCTTTTTAACTACAGATATCCAGATGAAATCTTGAGTACAAAGATTATTGGAGAGAGACAGTTTCAAAAGGCCGTTGAGCTTTTCACTTCAGCTAAACAAGAATTAACAGGGAAGATTGATTATCGCCATGTTTATCTGAACTTCACAAATATTAAAGTTCAATTAGAAGGGAATAAGGTTGTCCAAACATGCCCTGCAGCATTGGGCCCAGGATTTGCTGCTGGAACTACTGATGGGCCTGGTGTTTTTGGTTTCCAGCAAGGCGATACCGAGGTCAGGATCAGTTTTAAATTAAGGGATATTTACACACACGGTCAAATTTATTGTTTACTTTATCTAGCCAATACACATAAGTTATAGACAGATTATACTCAGTTATACAAATCTTATACATGGATATATTATACATCCGCCAGCTATGGACGACGTTTATTTAGCTTAATTCTTATTGAATTAAATCTTTTAATTCTCTATGAATAAAGTTGAAAGTCTGATTATGGTTAAAATTAAAATTTTGATCTTCTTTTCAGATCAATCCATTTTGGAAAAAGCTAAGAGATGTGTTAAGAGAACCAAGCCCATATCAAGTGGACTGTCAAAAGCCCAAAACTGTTTTACTGGATACTGGAGAGATGTTTTGGCCCTATCCGTGGGCGGTAAGGCCCAGAAAGAAAATTAAAGGAGTAGAAAATTCTTCATTTGGAAATCATTTTCTTCATTCATTTGTCATAAACTTATAGTCTTTTGTGTGTGGGTGGGCAGCCAGCAATACTTCCAATTCAAATTATTAGGCTGGGAAGTCTCACCATTCTCTGTGTGCCAGGAGGTAATGTGGCTTTTTTAAATAATTACTGACCATAAATACTTATCGGAAAGCAAAGGTACAGACAACCCGATCTAGCCAGTGAGCAAGTATATCCCCTACAGATAATGATATATACACTTGTATATTACTCTACATTTTACGTGATTCTTAAATAAGTATAGTTTTTTCAAAAATAATTGTTAAAAAACAATGTACAATTTCCTATGTGTTGGCCCTCGTGTCCTCTCATTCTTTTTGGTAGAAAGGTAGAACTACTACTAAATTATGCACAACATATACACAGAGTTTACAACAATGGCTGGTCGTCGATTAAGAGAGGCAGTAAAAGAAACACTAATAAGCAGTGGAAATGGCGAATTTGACGACGAAACTGATGTTGTTATAGCAGGCCTAACCAACGCTTACTCACAGTATATATCAACTTTTGAAGAATACGAGCAACAAAGATATGAGGTTCTAATACTCTTACTTTTGACTCGAACTATACTTGTATTTATAATAAAGTTTGAACCACCTAAGAGCAAAGAAACATGGTGTCTATAACGATACTTCCCATAATTGGAATATAATTCTTTTTATATCCGGTGACGTACAATAACATATAACTCTGTCAAAATTAAATCTAATGGCTCACCTAAAAAATAAAGTAGGTAACATGTTATAACAGGTCAAAATATAATGATAGCATGTTATAACAAATTTTTTTACATTTTAAATGAGTCGAACGTCAAAAACTTGGGCAGGCTGCATCTACGCTATATGGTCCCCATACATTATCAGCATATATTCAAGAATTCAAGAAGCTAGCTGAATCTATGGCAAAAGGAGAACAACATACTAAAGGACCTTCACCTCCAGATCTTTTGTCAATTCAACTTAGTCTACTACCAAATCCTACTGGTGACTCACCTCCACAAGGCATAAATTTTGGTGATATTAAACAAGACATAATTGTCCCAAAATCAGGAACATTTATAAAGGGTGACAAAGCAATTGTCAAATTCTGGAGTGCAAATCCAAGATATGACTTACTTACTGAAGGCACATTTGCTGTAGTAGAAATGCTACAAGGCAAAAGATGGATACCTGCATATGACGACGACGATTTTTGCTTGATCTTTAAATGGCAAGCAGAAAATAGTACGAGTGTGGCTGCTGCTGTAAATGCTACTGCTAATGTGAATAGTTATGGTTATGCTACACTTGAATGGGAAGTACCAGAGGAGGTTAATCATGGCGTTTATCGCTTAAGGCATTTTGGATCAACAAAGAAAACAAAAGAATCACCAAACTTGTATTATACTGGTACATCTAGTACTTTTACTGTGTCTTAGGATAGTAAGACACAGAAAATCCAACGTAAACATGCAAATGTATGAACAGAACTTTGGCATTGATGATCTTGTTTGTTCCCACAAAAACAGATATTAACTTAATATTGGAAAAACAATTGCCTACTGTTCATCTATTACAGGAGCTTTTTTTCTTGGGCTGAGTAACGTGGATTTCGAAAGTTGAGGTTCAATAACTAAAGAACAAGGGAATACTTATTATGGCGCAGGCTGCAGTGAAATAAATCACTTGTCCATCCAAATAACACAGCGTAGGCTCTTTCCTTGAATAAGTAAATCGAAAGCCTTGTTGATGTCTTCAAAATTCACTTCATGTGTCACAAACTTGTCCAATTGCAATTCCTAAAGCCACGAAAAAGGCGAGGACTAATGCTATTCAAATGAATCCAATTACTTTATAATTGAAATGCAGCTTGTCCCTTGAAAAGAATCACAACAAACATAAGCAGAAATATTAATTACCTTATCAAGATAACGTTTAACAAGGATAGGAACGTCGGATTTTGGTTTGAGACCACCAAAGAGTGCTCCTGTGAGAGTTTTCTTACTCGTAAGAACCTCAAAAGAGTTCAAGTTCAGCTGTGCCCCTGGCTTATCAACTCCTAAAACAACTGTTTTTCCCCAACCCTGCATTTTATATCCAAAGGTGTTAGGTATGAGCTTGTTCTCATTATTTTGTTGATTAGTGTAAGAGTTATGTGGGGGAGACCTTTCGACAGCAGGCGAACGCTTCCTGCACAAGTGTTCCCAGACCAACACATTCAAAACAATAGTCAGCACCTCCATTAGTCATCTCAATTATCACCTGTTTAGAAAAAGGAAAAAAAATTATGAGAGCTTTAGCATAGGATAACGATCATTGCCACATAACTATAAGTTGTCAAGCTTCTACAACAATAGCAACAAACCCAGTGAGTTCCCACAAGTTGGGTCTGGGGAGGGTAGCGTGTACGCAGACCTTACCCCTGCCCTGGGAGAGCAGAAAGGTTGTTTTCGCTAGACCCTCGTCTAAAGAGGCAAGGGATCAAGCTTCTAAGTTAGTAAATTCCATATTGTAAGAATGAAAGCTACAACCATGATTTATGCATTCATTCACAAATAAGCATAATCTTTTTTCATATTTTCGCACCTGGCTAATAGGTTTATCCTCACAGCTGTTGGAATTGATAAAATCAGTGACTCCAAATTGCTTCCCTGTGTCAAATGAGAAAGATAAAAATAAGAAAAAAGGAGAAGAGGAAGACGAATATTATCTTTTTTGTTATTGTTGTTGTTGTACAATGAAGGGGAGCCTTAGAGCAACAGTCAAGTTGTCTCCATGTGATCTATAGGTCACGGGATCGAGACGTGGAATCAGCCACTCATGCTTGTACAGGGTAAGCTGGCTATATCACACCTCCTTGGGGTGCGACCCTTCCCCGGACCCTGCAAAAACGCGGGATCTTTGCGCACCGATCTGCCCTTTTTGTTGTTGTTGTACAATGAATATTTAGTGTACCTACCTATTTCAAACTTGTCAGAGTTCATATCTACACCAATAATTCTGGTAGCACCACATAGCCTTGCTCCTTCTGCAACCTAAAAGATCCTCATGATTAAGCATAAGTGATTATTAATACTGACAAAAGCAAGAAGGAGGAGGAGGAGGTACATACTGCTAATCCGATTGCACCCAAACCGAAGATCACTACAGTTGAACCTGGTTCCACATTAGCTGTTTTCCAAGCAGCACCTACTCCTGAAAGCTCAATTTAGATAATATCAGACATGAAATTGTTCATAAATTCTCATATTAATCTAACTTATACACATCAATAGTGTAAGTAGTAAGAAACTTGTTTTATTCCCAAGCTACCAATCTCACTTTTTATAAAAGTTCGGTAACCTAATAGTGTAAAACTACTGAAACGATAATTTCAAGTGCTAATAACTAATACAACTAACTTCAGAAATGATTAAAACATGTAAAGATAAGAAGACAGAAGGGGTCAGGAAATTACCTGTTGATACTCCACAACTCAAGAGGCATGCCCGGTTAGGTGGGATTTCAGGATCAATCTTTGTTACATTAGCAATGTCGACGACTGTGTACTCGGAAAAACTTGATATATACACGAAATGGTGTAAAGTTTCTCCTTCAACAGTAGTGAATCTGCTTGTTTCATCTCTATGTAGCAATGGAGATATCTCAAATGGGAATTTGGAACAAAGGTTGCTTTTCTCGGATTTACAGTCTACACATTCCTTACAGTCGGGCAAAAATATAGGTACAACTGAATCTCCTTCTTTTAACTCCTCAACATCTTCTCCAACACTCTCCACAATCCTTAAATTCAGTAAGAATTGGTATCAGGAAGAATGTCATATATAAGAATCCATGCCTCGACTTTGACCAGCAAAAGAGTAATAAGCAATAAGAAAAAAAACACTATCCAAAGAGACATATATCATCTGCATTTTGAAGATGCATCTTTAAAGCATATATTATTGTAGTAAAATTTATTCAAGTCTATGCTGAAACATTACCAAATTCTGTTCCTAAAACATATTGGATCAAACTTAGCCATGTTAACTATTGCCTTAAATCAAGAAATCAAATAAACCACGAACACGGAATTGACAGGGATCACAGAATATACCGCTCGTCTATTCCATTTTATATGACAATTCTTTCCTTTTTTGTCGGTTCCAAAAAAGAATGACAACTTTCTATATTTTGAAACTTTTTAAAATTTAAACGTTCCTTTTTACCCTTAATGACATGCTCTTATACAATCAAATCTCTCTATAACAGCCTCTTTTGTTCCGATATTTTTGGCTGTTATAATAAAATGTTGTTACAAATTACATATATTATAATACAATATAAAAATCAATTTCGATAAAAATTTGCCTTTTATAGTGAATAGCTATTATATAGGAATGTTGTTATAGAGAGATTTGACTGTAAACATGTTACTAGTCACAAATTCTAAGGTTACTTTTAGGGTATGTGCCAAAAATCTTTCTTTCTTTGTAAATTTTATGTCCAGTCAAACACCGTCATATAAAATGAAACAAAAGAAGTAAAATTTACCCAAAAGCTTCATGGCCCAAGATTCTTGGAAAGCAACCAGGAAATTCCTAAAAAGAATAAAAAAGGCATCAGTTCATACAAAAATTAGTAAACAAAAAATTCTACTGAAGAGAGACTAAATTTGGAAATAAACATAAAAATTCTATACTTTCATCTTCCAGAAGGTAATGTCGCTGTAACAAAGAGAAGTACAAATGATTTTTAGTCGAACTTCATGTGCTTTAGGAGGAGCCACTATCACTTCCTCTATCACCAGTGCTTCTCCTGGTTTTCTTGCTACCGCAGCTGCAGCACCACACTCACAAGTCAAGACCCGTTTGTCCATGAAATTTCGCAAGTTTTTGGAAATTTTTCGAAAATGAATTTTTTATATTTGAAATTTTCAGAAAAACTTTTTTCTCCACTCACAAAGTTATAGTAATATTTTTTCAAGTGAAATGCATGTCCAAATATAATTTCAAATTCTAAATACCATTTTTTCAACTTAACTCCAAATACTACTTTTTCAAAGCCTACAATTTTTATGTCCAAACGCCTACTAATTAACAAGTAAAATGGATTTTCTTTTAAAGTAAAACAGCAATTTTTATCATTTAAAATCTCTAATTTTTTTCAAGATTCCACATAAACTACTTGGCTCGACTATAAGAATCCTATATATTCTGTCTGATTCATCATAATTAAACTATTTCTACACGTATTTAGGTTATATACACTGACAATGACAATGTAGTAACTGTTAAGCAGGTTAGTTTAGCATTTTATTCTACGATAACAATCAATACTTCTTAATTAAACTACCTAAAAATATCGACACGATCCTGTAAATATAATTTACGTATAATATATGTATAACTATGTATAATCAACGTAAATCAAAAAAGTAAATATTGAATCTGACCGGCTATTTGTGTAACAATCCCATATATTTACTTTATCAAGAAGTTTAAAAACTATTCTACACTGCCGTCAATCAACAAGGACTCGTCCTTTATATGAATTTGGAATGGATTGAGGTTTACAAAATTGACATAGACAAAAGTTCTTTTGAAGATTGTATAAAGATCATAATTTAAAAAAAAAACACAGAAAATTAGCTTTGTGACGAATATTTACCTCTGCAACGAATGGGTTTTCCAGCAGTTTTGCTAAGTCCGTTTTGTTTTGTAGAAGCCATTTTTGTCAATACTGCAAACCACAGAAATACTTTCAGTGAGTTGCTATATCTTCAGTTAGCTGGTTTTATAGAAATACTTGGTCGTTATCCACTAATTAAATATTATTAATCTGTAAAACCAGATAATGGCTTATATAACAAATTTAAAATTTGAACGGTTTCATAAATTTGAAATTTAAAAATATTATAGGTATGAAAGTTGTGTAAAAATAAAACACTGTTAAACATACTCACACAATTAAAAAAAAATATACTAATAGGTATGCTGCTCAGACTCATTAAAAATATCGTTGGATGTATATCGGATTCTTCATAATATATTTTTAATAATCTAATCTAACTATATTTTTAGAAAATCCGAGCATTTTAATACTAACATGCCATCTAAATTATGAAAAGTTGGATTAATTAGTAATATAAAAAACAAAGCAAATTACATGTTACACGTTGAAATACAGTGCAAGAAAAGGAGTTACACTGAGAGTGAAATATTAGTAAAAAGACAAAGCTAGCCGAATATCATTGAAATGTTCGCCAAATCTAATAGCCATTAGATTGCCATTTTCGGATTGAGTACAATAATAACAAAGTGATAAACGACACAATTTTTTAATATTTTTTTTTTGGGTCATTTTTGATAACGTTACTATTCTTTGCTGTCATTGTAACAGAAAACCGACATTTTCGTTTTTTGAATTATTGTAAAGCTTATCTGGATGTTTACATCAAATGAATTACATGATAGTTATCACTAAATTATAGGTAAATTAATACACACTCCCACCTCAATTTATAGCGTAACCACATACATAACCACGATGTATTAATATAATCTCATGAAAATATCGAATACGAATAAATTTTTTAACGTTAAACACCAACTTTGCTGTCATTCGGGATGGCGTTTTTACAGTGACAGCAAAAAAAGTAAACTGGAAATCTGTATTATTTTAGGTGCTGAAATATGTAAATATAGTAACAGCATGTTAAAAAACTCTTTCTCTCTTTTTTTTCGATATAACATTAGACATTCAAATCTCATTAGTGTGACTAATTTAAATTTGTATCAGATAAGTTTAAAACGTTTGCTATTTAAGATTTTATCTTAAAATTTGAATTCGAGATCTCTAACTAAAGTAAATGAATTCTAATCAGAATTCTAATCAAAAAATTATTTTATCATATCCCAGTGGTGTGCTTAAAAACTATTTTATTTGGAAAAAGGTGGTTGTGGGAATTAAATAAAGTCAAACATGTGAGTATTACATTAAAAGTCTTAAACATGTTTTTATAGTATCTTTTTCCACTTAATGGAGGAAGGAGTGAAAGGGAGTCATTAGATAAATTACGGTCTCTTGTTGATTTTAGCGGAAACAAATTCGCTGTTACTTTTCAATAATTCTTTTGACAAGAATGAGATTTATGTAGCGCTTATATTATACTGTATTGTTTTGATGTATACATAAATCTCATTCTTGTCAAAAGAAGTATGATCATGATCTGGCCGAGAGAGTTGTTTACCTCGAAAACACGAGTAATTTGATTTATGGTTTTAAAGATATGTCATTTAATTCAATACCAATTAATAATCAAGAAGTATGAAGTAGAAACGAAAGAGGGAAGTGAATCAAACCAATGTTACTCAACAGCAGTGACCTCGAGCCCAGGGACCTTCGAGGTAGGCTTGGTATTATAAGAACAATTAAATAATGAAAGCAAAGTAAGAACAATAGAGCTAAAGGACAATGCTGACGAAAAGCAGGCGATAAGGGTAGAGAGTATATTCTTTTTCAATGATAAGATGATGTTATAAATGATTGGGGTCCCCTTTTATAATAGGGGAACCCTAAATAAGGAATATTTCTATTTACAGTGGGGAATATTCTTATTACAGTTGTCTAACCGCCTAGTACGGAATCGTACAATCTTATTCCGGGATTTGCGCCATGATCTTGGGAACGTGGCAGGAATCTAGCTCATTCTGTTACAGACCCATAACGGTACTATTTTGGGGTCGAGCACACTTGGCCTCGGTATTCCTCGAACTCCTGTCTCCGGGCATTGCACTCTGTCTTCGAGTTCGAGTCTGGGTCCACCGGTTTCGAACTCGACCTTGCCTGAACTCGGGCATATGAAGGACCCTCGATCCTGTAAATCGGAGGCCTCTGATTTTGACTGTATACAGATAGTCCTCGCATTTCTTAGAATAAGATGATAAGAAACGATTAGAACTTTGATTTTCAAAGCCCATCACGATAATGTCGCCCCTATGATGCAGGCGCTCGAAGTGACTGAAACTTCGCGTCGGTTCGCGTCCCCAAAACATTAAATGCATGCCAGTACTGGTCGGCCACTAGTGCCACCGAACCGTCGTTGTCCTCCTATAAATATGAGGCTATTCCTTTGAGCAAAGAATTTTACTCCTTCATTACATCTTTCCCTTCTTCATCTCTTTCTCCAATCACCTGTTTCCACCGCCTCTTTAAGCGTCAGAAAACGCCGGGTTCTTGTAAAAACACCACATTCCGATATAGAGAGTATCCTTTAGTTTGAAACCATGGCTAAAACTTCCAAAACGGTCCCCAAAAGAGATAAAGAGTCGACTTCTTCCACCTCTCGGCCGGCAAAATCGGTGGTGCCGCCGACTCTTGAAGAAATCACCCCCGGCCCTTGCATGATTAAGAAAGACTTTAGTATTGAAAATTCCCCCGATGTCCCAGGCTGATGCGAGCATGCATCTCGATATCTTAGTTTGATATCGGAGAAGCATCTTAAAGATGTGAAGAAAGACTATGGTTGGGGAGACGAGGTCATGGTTCAATTCCCAAGCCCCGGGAAAAGCATTACTACCTATGTGGAGGGGTTTTTAAGTGTTTACACTTACCCCTTCACACTGGGTCCCCTCGATCCGGTGGTGATCGACTTTTGCAAAACATACGAAGTCACCCTCGGCTAGATTCACCCCTCTTTTTGGCGTATTGTGATCATGCTGCGCTACTTTTCCGAAAAGGCCAAGGGGTTGGAATTCACCCTCAGCCACCTGATTCGATTGTATTGGCCCCAGCAATTTCGAGGGCTTATCAAGCTGCAACGTCGAACAACGAAAGTCGTTTTTGCCAGTACTGATGAAACAAAAAGATCGAGGTTGGATGAGCCGGTTTGTTATAGTAAGAACTTCGGATGTCATCCCCAGGATAAAATGCCGTTTCCGGAGAGGTGGAACTTTAGTCGTAAGTGAAGTTCTTTTTTCCAGAATCTATTCATATTCTGCTTTCATATTTCATAATGCATTTACCCTTCTTTTGGCAGCCACTGCCTGGGCACCCCACGCGGTACCAGACCTCGAGGATTGGGTCCAAAAGTTAGCTGCCACCTCCTCCTATGATGAGCGCAAGTGGCGTGAATTATCGAAGGGCCAGTGGGAGGCCAAGAATCATGGTAAGTGCTTTTCCCCAGTTTCAAATACTTTCCATATATGGGTGGCGTCAACTTATTCATGTTTACTTGTGAAGGCCTTGGAGATGCATCCGAGATGAGGCCGGCTCCGTCCGGGGAAAAGACCAAGCCTTCGATTCCGAAATCGGAGAAGGATAACAAAAGGAAGAGGGTCTCGAAGCCTGAATATCCTCAAGATAAGAAAACCCCCGCTCGAAGGCTGCAGAAAAGATTTGCTCACGCGGACGCAGATTCGGCCCACGATTCCCCGGATGACGAAGAAAATGATGGTGAGGAGTTGGCGTTGGTGCCTCGAACCAGGAAACCAATCAAAGCCTCCAAGCCCTCCGTCTTGAGACCTCATCCCGAGGTGAAGGAACCCCAAAGAAAGATGCGGGCAAGGCCCCCGTATCCCCAGAGGTTGAGATCATTCCTCCGCCCTCAACAAATATGCCGGAAGGGGCAAATGCAGAGACCCCCGAAGCTAATGAGAACGCCCCGAGTGACGAGCTCGGGGCCATGACAACAGGTCACTCCCTTTCTTTGCCAACTTATTCCAAGGACGCAATAGAATAAGCTAACGCTCTGAGTATGCCCGATCCGAGCAAGGTCCTCGAAGAAGATCCCTTTCAGAGTTGCTTTGCTTGGGTCGATGATACCACCGACCTTAACGATGCATCTACCCTCTTCGAAGAGGCCCAGCGTCTTCTCTCTCGGGTAAATAGTTACTTTATTTTTGTAACTTTCTCTTTCGTTCTTTTCCTTTAACTGATATATTTTCATTTCATGTATAGGCCACTGTAAAGTTTAGAGCTGAGCTGAGCCAACGTGAGGACGAGCTCAAGAAAGTTTCAGGCGAAGAGAAGGCCCTAAGGCTCCTCTGTAGCCAAAAGGAAGAGGAGCTTAAGGATCTCCAGGTTGAATTGGCCAAAGCCCAGAAGAACGAGGCCGAGCTAGATGAGCAGGTAATTGTGATATTAACAGGGTACGGTCTTCTTGGCCCTACTTCGGAGGCTAACACTTCACTATCTCAGTTGCAGCAAAAGTTTCTTGACTATATTTTTAGAAAATCCGAGCATTTTAATACTAACATGCCATCTAAATTATGAAAAGTTGGATTAATTAGTAATATAAAAAACAAAGCAAATTACATGTTACACGTTGAGATACAGTGCAAGAAAAGGAGTCACACTGAGAGTGAAATAGTAGTAAAAAGACAAAGCTAGCCGAATATCATTGAAATGTTCGCCAAATCTAATAGCCTGTAGATTGCCATTTTCGGATTGAGTACAATAATAACATGATAAACGACACAATTTTTTAATATTTTTTTTTGGGTCATTTTGATAACGTTACTATTCTTTGCTGTCATTGTAACAGAAAACCGACATTTTCGTTTTTTGAATTATTGTAAAGCATATCTGGATGTTTTGTGACGACCCAAAGGGTCATCACCTGTTTTCCCTTTTATTCCGTGCTTCCGAGGCCTAAAAAACCTCATTTTTACTTGCCTCGATTTGCGTGCGCAGTCCGGGCGCGTACCCGGAAAGCTTAAGTATGAATTCTGTGTGAAAAATGATGAATTTTGATATTAATATGATTAAAGTTGACTTTGGTCAACATTTTGGGTAAACG